TAGGTAGGAGCATGTCCGCGAGATACTTCACACAAGATATGAAATTAAGCTGTATGACTCTGATACAGCATGTATAATGAACACATGCTACCCGTTAACCTTTCACTGATGTGTCTACAAAACTCATGTATTCCATAGGTAGGAGCATGTCTGCGAGATACGCTTGTATCTCAGCACAGGGAAGGGACAGAATGTCCTTGGACAGGGATGTTTTTCCATCAGATTGTGAAGATTAATGCAAAGTCAGGTTTTCCCCATTTAAAGGTCAACACAGGATTAAATTCTTGATCTCTTCTCATCAAAACTGACTGTGCAATGCCACTTGATAAATTTCACTGCAGCTGTTTCAGGGTGATCCCGAGGCAAAGCAGTTCACTGTGGAAATGGTATCACTCTTAGCTTGGCACACCCAAAGTTAAACCTGAGTGGATGTCTCCACCTGGCAGCTGGTCTCAAGGCAGAGACTGTCACTGCACTGAAGCTCTGAGCCTGGAGCTAGTGAAGTTTCCTGCTGCCCCTGTGCCAGAAATAGAGGCTGATTGTGTTCCATGATTGACGTGTCTTCATACACAGCTAGCATTTTCATGTATGGATCAGTACTGTTTGGCCACCATAACAAGTACCTAAGTAGCTTTTAGGTCAGCTCTCCAGCTGGTCACACAGCTTTGTTTCTCTAGATTGCCATCAGTACTGAGACAGTCAGAAATTACCGGCTTGTCAGGGATTTCACCTGGCCTTTTCTCATGTGATATTGCCAACCACCTTCTATGTCTGAAAGAAAGATTTTGATAGTCTGCTCTCAGACAATAACAGAACCGGAAAGTCTACTTTCCCAACAGATTTTTAGGCTTTGTAGGATTAAACAATATTCTTAATTGACCTGTACCATTTGTAGCTTTCAGGGAATCTTTGTCCTGACTTTACCTTCACAGGTCACCTTCATTTATACAACCTCTGACAAGGGAAGCGAGAGATGGCACAGCCAGAAGGCTGCTAACAGAGATCTCATGCCAAAGCTGGTCACCAGCATCATGAAGAATTTTAGTTCTTGTACTGAGATTGGCGGAAGTTAAATATTCTTAGTGTGTTCTCGAAGTCAGCAACAATTCTTGGGACAATATTGGCTGCAAAAATTATATAGTCTCATTTCTATTTAGTTAAAAATGGATTACCATATCAGGGAAGATAAGGCAAATTGGATTTGCATTAATTAGTCATTTAATGTCAGCGTAGGCCTGTCTGAACTATTCAGCTGGAATTGTAAATCCAAGTTCAAAACAAATTGGCTTCCTTCCAGTACTACAGAGTTTAACAGAGACAAGCTGAGATTTCATTTTTTATATATATGTGCTCATATATAAAATGGTACTGTGTGAAACTGCAGAAACTTAGCAGAATTAAACATGTTTTTTCTATTTAGCTCTTTCCCCACCCAAAGAAATCTTGTACAAAACAAGAATGTATTTCTCTCAATATTTATTTCTCCTCTTGTGATCACGAGATTCCTTAGGTTTTCTCTGCAGGTTTTTTCTGCAGCTTGAAGGAGGTGACTCTTCCTCTCTGCTCAGCACTGGAGAGGCCACACCTGGAGTGGTGTGTCCAGTTGTGGGCTCCTCAGTACAAGAGGGATGGAGCTACTGGAGAGAGTCCAGTGAAGAGCAGCGAAGATGATTAAGGCACTGGAGCACTTCCTGTAATAGGAAAGGCTGAGGTAGCTAACACTCTTCAGCCTTGAGAAGAGAAGGCTCAGGATGATCTTATTCATACGTACAAATACCTGAAGGGAAGGTGCACAGAGGATGGAGCCAGGCTCTTTTCAGTAGTTTACAGTGACAGCAGAAGAGGCAATGGGCACAAACTGAAACAGAATTTTCTCTCTGAACATTAGGAAGCACTTTTCTGCGAGGGGGACTGAACACTAGCACCAGTAGTCCAAAGAGTTTGCTGAGTCTTCATCCCTTGCGACAGCTGAAAACTGAACATTGTCTGGAGCAACTGGCTGTAGGTGGTTCTGCTTAAGCAATGAGGGCTGGATAAAATGACCTCCAGAGGTCCCTTCAAACCTCTGCCATGCTGTGATTCTGCACAAAATCTAACCACTTAATAAAAGAAAACCAGGATTCTTGTAAACAATTAAAATCTGGTAACACCTTCAAAGAAACCGGTAATGCGTTACACAAATTTAAGCACAATTTCATGAAAATACAGACTTAGAAGCATGATTTATGCAAGCAATTGTTCTAAACACCCAGAGAAGGAAAGTAAAATATGAAGCATTAAACACCAAACTGCAGGTATCAACTTTACACTAATATACAGAGAACTGCAGCACTGACTAAACCGGTTCTGTGTTGGATTGTTATGGATAATGAGATCTGGAAGGACAATGCAGGAATCTCACCTCTGTTTTTGCAAGTCAGAAGGCAACTCCCATATAATAAAAAACTTAGGGCTAGGCACTGAGGCTCTTACCAGTTAAAAAAAAAAAAAAATTCCTTGCACAAAATTCTAACTGTAGTCCAAACCAAAAATTTCACAGAGGAAGCATTGACAGGTTCCAGAAAAACTGAGAGGATGAAAAGCAACTCCATTGTTTTTCTCTGCTGTGCTATTTCAAACAATGCACTAGTAAAAGCCTGAAACATGAAAGCACTAATTTAATGAATTAGGAGGCAAGGGATGGAGATGAAAGAAGCTGGTCAATTTTTTGCTCCTTTTCTCATTTTTTTGAACAGTGTGAAACTAGCCAGGTACCACAATGGCAGATCTGCTCTGCTTTAAAACCCTCACTCTGTACCATTAATGATTAATAGTTGACCTGTGGAGTAACAGAAGGAGACTTTCATTGTCTGTGTGTGGATAAGCTGCAAATTTTGGCACTCTAACCTTAGAGAAACAGGTAGCTGATTATTCTCTGCTTATCTACCACTGAGGTTTGCAAGTACCTGTGGAGTAAAGCACTATTTAATGTCATTAAAGGTGTCAAAAGCTAGGCTTTATGAACCAGCAGAGAGGAAAAAGAGTTCAGGGTTGAGGGCACACAACTTTCTAATAGGTGAAGTGAAAAAACAGGGTAGCAAACAAAATAAAATACAGACAATATGCACTTTCTTCCATTTAGGGTAATATTAATTCTTAGGCACCTCTGTGCTTTTGGTTCAGACAAAGTAACATTCCCACGGAGGACACAGTTTGTGAAGTTTGTTCTGGTAGCTGCTTTGCACAACTCAAGATTCCTTCTCTGCCCCACTGATGAATTTTGTCTCTGCATGACCCCTCAACTATGCTGGTAGAACTCTCTCCAACAGTCAGATAAAGGAACATATGTGGGCAAAAATAATGCAGAAAAAAAAAAAAAAAGCTGTTATTTTGAACTCAGTTCATTTTCTCAGTCTAGTTTATTTTATAGCTTCACAACAGATGTAGACATACAGAGCTGAAGAAGCTGTTGTAGGACAAGCTTGAGCAGGAGGAGAAGGGGTGCTTCGTAAGCGGCCTGTGGTACTTAAAGAAATGTTTGTCAAGCAACAGCTTCAGTACTCTTGCAGCCAACTTTCCAACATGGTCCTCCCTGCCTGTCTCAACACTCTGAATAAAGAGGGACCTAAGAAGAGGTTGTTTTTATTCTGTTGCATCCTTCCGTATCCAATTGCTAACACCTGCTGTAGAAGTTTGAACTACAGATTTCTACAAAGTAGAAGCTACAAAAGGACATCAAGTATCTCACCATCACCATAAAGAACTAACCATTCACTAGAAACCTGAGCTGGCTTGTAACAAGTAAACCTAAAAGGCCAATAGTCTGACAGGGCAGTACAAATACCTTTGCCATTGGTTTCCTTATAAATCACTTATCTGAGAAAGACCATGTTTTTGTGACACACTCATGAAACTGGAATGGATTTTCTGAGCAAGCACATAATGAAACACTGCTAGAAATTAAATATGACTTAGGAACAGCTTAAAAAATGAAAGAATCCTTACTCTACCTGCTTATATTCTTTTCTACTTGATGAAAAGTATTTTACATCAGTTGCAGTATTTCGAGCACCAAAATGCTTTTATTTGCTCTTTTGTCCCAGATATATCTGCACCTTAGATCAAGCTCTGCTTTGACACCATTACATATGCAAGGCCTGACCTTCCTGCTGCTCAGTATGGACACCAAGCAGAAGCCTCTTTCCCATTTCACGAATGACTGAGCACACATGACATTATGTAAACTCTGTGACTGAGGAACATTTTTCCACTTCTGAGGCTGTAGGTGTATATCCAGCCACACCCCCATGCAGTGGTGGTTCTGGGAAGGACCTGGCATGCAAGCTGGGAGGAAAACACTGCTCGCCAGCCAGGCCTCATTAAAGCACATCAGCCTCACAGTCTGCACACAGGTGAAGAATCTAGGACACAGAGATAAAATGTCTGTGTTCTCACAGAACACGGTAGACGGTAAAAAATATACATCAAATGCAACGTAAAATGGAAAAAAACACTCCAAATAACCCAGTATCTAACTTCTGTACATGTCATCTCTTTGTCTGAATGAGAGGATATTGTTCTGAACTGTTCCCAGTGGGGTCTGTTTGCAAGTAAGCCTTCTCAGCACACAGCTGACCTGTCCTTAAAACAACACAATGATGGTTCCTCCTGAGTCAGTAGTAAAAAATATACATCAAATGCAACGTAAAATGGAAAAAAACACTCCAAATAACCCAGTATCTAACTTCTGTACATGTCATCTCTTTGTCTGAATGAGAGGATATTGTTCTGAACTGTTCCCAGTGGGGTCTGTTTGCAAGTAAGTGCTGGCCTTCTCAGCACACAGCTGACCTGTTCTTAAAACAACACAAACAATGATGGTTCCTCCCGAGTCAGTACTGAGCCACTGCTCCACAAGGGAACAGCAGCAATGGAAATGATTGTTTGTCATCACTTCACTTTTGCTTTTCTTGATTTTGTCCTAATGACAAAAACTTCCAGTGTGCACATGCAAACATTACCTTCATATCTATTTCCGTGCCATGGATCTGTTGAGCTACTGTTTTGATGATCCCAATGACAATATCCTGCAGGCCTTCTCTCTCGGAATAGTAGTGCAGGATGAGCCCCTTCCCCTTCTCGGCATCGGTGCACCTAAAGGAAGGGGCTCGCATACCCGGGTAAATAGTGGCAAGGTGGTCATGCAAAGCATCCAGATTCTGGAAGAAGAAATTAAAAACGTGACTAGAAGGCATTCATCTATGAGTTCTGAAGAAAATAAGTAAACATTCTGCCTAGTCAGAATATCCCCTTTCTCCTACTGCTCACCTTCCTTATGCATTTGCATCGTTTGTAAAACTCTCATCACAGCAAACTTTTCAGGTAGCTTTCAATATTCTTTCAATCTTCTATGGCAATATTTGGACAATGCATGGCATCTGTTAAAAACTACTGCAGATAGTAAGAACTAATGCTTTACTAGGCTGTATTTTGAAGCACTCAGATGCTTAAAGAACTTGTGTGTGTTTCTCAGTCCTGTACCTCCATCCATTTTCATCCCTTCCAATTCCAGTCCCTATAATCTCCTTTTCAGATGTGAATTTAGGTGTCAAATACAAATAAGCTTGTCTGAATAAACTTGAATCTTTTTCCTTATTCTTAATGAAACAGGCTAGTTCTCACATTGTAACAGTCAACCAAAGTTTACAGGCCTTGACAAAGTATCAAATTTTAAAGACTTAAATGACTGAAAGACAAACCTCAAATACATATTCTATTTGAAAATAATTGAAAAATTACACAGAATAAACAGTTCATATCACAGTTGCTGTAATTATGTTTCAGTAAAGGTTATCCATGAAAGGGAAGAATTCTGTTTTTCCAGCCAGCTGATATCCTGGATATCTTATATCTTTAACTCTAAATTTTGACCAGATAAATTGCTATCTGGAGAGGAAAGCCAAGTAATGAATTGATAGGTGTATCTTATAAAGATATTAAAGAGAGCAATAAGATGAAAATCACACTTAGAACACAACACTAGCTCCAACTTTGATTACAAAGCAATTATCAAGGGTCCAGGTTGCTATTTACTGTATATTTCAGTCAGAAAGAGAAACCTAGTTTGCTGGACAGTGTTTATACCTCTGTTGTAAAATTCATACAACTTCTTTACATCTTAAGTCCAGAATATTACTGCATATTTTAGATGTTGTTCTCTCACCCCTCCAAGCAACTGCTAGTGCCAGGAGAAGTGAGGTGAAAATATTTTCAACATGCTGTCTGGGCCATTCTCCACCTTTCATGAGCATCTGTCGATCATCAAATTTGTGGAAGCATACTGAACTTGATTTGATGTGAGCTGCAGAGGGCTCAAACAGCTGCCTCTTCTCCTGTGAGGCCTCCAGAGGAAATGAGACTCTTAGAAATGAATTCCGTAGGATGCAGTCAGCCTGGAACTTCCTCCTTCAGTTTTTTAGTTTATTTCTGTTGCTATATCAACACGTCCAAATTAAAAATTGCAGAGGCAACAATCTGGGAGTCAACCCACTCCAGCTGTTAGTTGGCATTCAACTACAAAAAGTCTAATGCTTAAAGGCAAATTCTGTAAGATCTTTGCAGGGTTCAAGACAATGAAATAGGAAGA